AGCAAGTACTTGAGACCCCTGCTTTGCTTTTCGAGAGTGCTGTCTGTTGAAAGATTTTCTTCTCTATATAATTATGGGTCTTTTTCCATGCATTATTATTCTCTGTATCTCCTTGTACATATTTCATTTACATGTCACAAATCCTATTTTCCCACCTTACTTGGTATGCCATTTGAAGTGCTTCAGGAATGGTTTGGTACTTTGGAAGGGTGGATGAAAGTTTAATTCATTTCCTACTTTGTATGTTGTTTCCCATTTTGTTTGTAATAATGCCATTCTGGATTAGCGTTTTGCTGTTAGGAGTCTGGAGTAAAACATGACTCAGTAGCATACAGATGGGCTTGCTGCTCAGCAACTTGAAAGCAAAGGGATTGAAAGAAAACTAGCCACTCTGTTCAGCACTATTTGGCACCATTGTTTGTTCCTCAATGAATGAGATCTGGACTGAGGTTAAAGTAGGTTGTAGGTCAAAACTCAGACTTGTGTCGAGTAACAGCATTTGTCTGTATCTCGCCTTGTTCATATTCAGTGTTCCCAGTCCCGCCATCCGCATGACTTCACTAGCAATACTTTGAAAAAAGCTCTTTCACATTCCAGATGTGTGTGTTTTCAGAGCCTGAAATACTAAAAGCTTGCTGTAAACATACACGCTGTGAAAGCGTTCCCCCCTCCCTTAAAGGCCAAGGGGTCACCAAGGGAACATATTAGTATGTTTTCTGGCTTGTTAGAGCCATGACACTCTGAAAGCGTGCAGTGGAAAGAAGCAATACAGGACTCCAGGTTGTGTAATGTGAACGATAATGAAAGCCACTTGGGGCACAGTGCCAAAGTCTGTGCTACTGTTAATGGCTTATGTCTGTTTGGAGATTGAGCAGAGCATGGTGTTTAAATATCTGCAAAATACTTAACCTTTATTTCTAACCCTCAACTGTGAATAACATATTCTGACATAACTCTCCCTATGTAAAACTTCCTAAAGATATTGGGAAGTACCAAGAATGGTTTTGAAGCAACATGTTAGAAAGAGGAGGAAGAAAGACCAGTCAATTGACTTTTTCAATGCTTTATTATTCCATGGGATTGATCTGTCTTACATTCCAGACCTCCCGAGTTGCTAGTTTTAAAACTGAAAATAAATAAATGAATGGGGTAATTGTCAGATTGTTGAGGTTATGTGTGTCTTTAACCTATCTCTGTATAAATGATGTGTATTATGTACAGCAAACAGACCATGACTATATAATTTTGTGCCTAGATTTAAATATACCAAAACATTTTACATGTACTGTTAGATAGGATCATATCGAGATTCTCTTCATGCGGTGTTTTGATGATGTACAACTCTCCTTGTACTCATTGTTAGAAGGCTACACAAAAATAATATAACTGTTCATGCAATCGCATCATGTTTGCTTTTAATCAGTGTTTTATAAATATCCCTGGCCACTATCCACATTTATAAAACATTACACATAACATTTTTGTTGCAGTCTTATTTGCAGTTGCATCAAAACTGCTATTTTCACAGTTCAGAAGTATACACATTGGATTGTAGGAGTGTAGGAAAAGTACAAGATAGATAGAACTGAAAATTTGCATCTCTTTGTGCAATTATATTTATTTATTTATTTATTTATTTATTTAAAACATTTATATTCCGCCCTTCTCGCCCTGAAGGGGATTCAGGGCGGAGCATAGCATATACACGGCAAACAGTCAATGCCTGGACACAGATTCACACACAATACATAAACATTAAAAAAATTATCAAAATATTAAAACACACCATTTAAAACCGTCCTAGTCATCCACGTCAAATCATTGGCCTGGTCAACTTTCCCATTGCTGCTTTATTGCCCTGTCCCGAAAGCTTGGTTCCACATGCAAGTTTTTACCATCCTCCTAAAGGACAGGAGAGAGGGAGCCGACCTGATTTCACCAGGAAGGGAATTCCATAGCCGGGGAGCAATCACTGACAAGGCCCTGTCCCTTGTTCCCACCAATCGTGCCTGTGACAATGGTGGGACGGAAAGCAGGCCCTCCCCAGAGGATCTTAATCTCCGCAATGATTCATAGGAGGAGATGCGTTCAGACAGGTAATTTGGGCTGGGGCCGTTTAGGGCTTTATAGGCCAAAGCCAGCACTTTGAATTGTGCCCGGTAGCAAACTGGCAGCCAGTGGAGCTGGCATAACATGGGAGTTGTATGCTCGCTGTATGCCGCCCCAGTTATTAACCTGGCTGCCTCTTGTTGGACCATTTGAAGCTTCCGAGCAATCTTCAAAGGCAACCCCATGTAGAGTGCATTGCAGTAGTCTAACCTAGGTGTAACGAGAGCGTGGACCACCGTGGCCAAGTCTGACTTCCCAAGGTACGAGCGCAGCTGGCACACAAGTTTTAATTGTGCGAATGCTCCCCTGGCCACCGCTGCAATGTATAAAAGAAAAGAATCAATAATTCTCGATGCTTTGGTTCTACTTCAGAAGGAAGTCCAGGTAATTAGGAATTCCAAAATTGACAACTATATTTTGATAGGTAGAATTTCAGAAATATTTTTCCATATATGTTGAAGGAAGAAAACAACTGGCTATGTCAATGAATGTTGATTTGTAAAAGACCAAGAGAAGTTGAATAGATACGTTTGGCAGATCAACACCGAGTAGCTTAGCCTGATGTAAATTTGGATTGGAGCAGCCTGAATCCAGCACATAACATAAATCCAGGACTGGTTCCTAGATGGCCTGGCACCGCGTTGACCCTGCTGGGCGGTTACCTCCCCCATGTTACCACTACTGCCAGTCCTACCCAGCCATGGAGCTCTTCCAAATGCCTGCCTGCTGTGGTTGTCTCTGTTGATGTCAGAATGGGGCACCCAAGAACCCGCACAAACTCGTCTCCTTCTTGCTGATTGTTTAGGTGCCCCTTTCTGACACGAGCAGAGACTGTGTTGCCAGATACTGAAACAGAGCTTTGTGGCCAACTGACAGTGGCACTAGCCATGACACAGATACAAGCAGGGAAGAGGGTCATGACCGTCTGGCTATATAACTGAGATTGACTAGGACGGGGCGTGCACCATCCTTATATTTTTTCAAAGATTTTCATTGTGCAGTTTGCAATATCAGGTTTCTTGTGACTATTAAATCAAGATGCATGAGGGAAATACAGTCAGCCCTCAATGAAAGTGAAAAACCTCAAGTGTGGAGGGACAACTGTAGTTTTATTTCCATGTTATATCTGATTTCACAATATGCAGAATATATGCAAGGTCAACTCTTGATAAATTTTCAGACTAAATTTAAATAAATGAAAATTTTGTTGTGAAGAGAGAAAATGAAACCTGCCTGATGGCTGTACTTCACCTTTTAAAAGTTGCATTATCTCCCATTCATTTACTACCACAAATTGCACAATTGAAATGCAGGAGCAAAACAGTTTTTTAGTAGTATATTAGAATAATCACCTGTTTGAAAAGATATTGGATGCAGCTCACAAATTTTCTTCTTCATTATCCCTCTGAACCATTAATTTTCTCATTAATGTATGTGTGCATTCTTTGGAAGCACAACTTGAAAAGTAGTACTACTAGTATTAGGGGGGGGGGGGGTTTGTCCAGAAGTCCCTTGCTGTCTGGAAATGGTTTGATCCCTTTGTCATCACTCTGTCAGATAGGTACATGCAGAAAACACTTTTCCATCTTCTGTGATAGCATTGGAATCATTATTGCAGCAGTTGGCTCTGATACGCTTCCACAGACACAAATTGAGTCCGACAGGACTGATGTCTCATGGACTTTGCTGTCATTTGAAATGCAGGCACAAAGATGGTAGCAGTAAAAGAAAAGAGCTGGTACTTTCAGTTCATTGCCTATGAAGGTTCCTTATTAGTGTGTTTTTCAATAATAGCGTTAGAATCAAGAGTTGATTTTGAATGTGGTATCTAGGAGGGTATTTCTCACACTTTCTCTCCAGTACATATTAATGTTTGTTTTGTGCTGTAATGCAGGTAACTGGTATCACTCACAAACTTGAAAAAAGCTGTTGTGTAGAATGGTCATATTGTTTTTCCACTCTTCCTTTTTCATCTTAGTCTTTTCTTCATGCAAATAACACTTGCATTGTTATATGAACAGAGTTTTAAAGGACATCTCTTAACAGCACGTTGATTCCACAATTAAATGACAAAATTCCAAATCTCTAGAATTTCCAGTTGGGAGTGAATGCATTTACAAGGTTTTTCCCCCAACATAACCTTGGAAGGAGTGAATATAGTAGAGTAAAATTGATTTCTTCTTAAAGACAGATGCTCACACTGTATTATTCATTAGTTCTTATACAAGATATAAAATTAAACTGACTGAACTGGAATATGGAATCTGTATTCATAATTTATTTGAATTACATAATTCACATATAGTGGTAAATAAGAGAAGAAACAGTATCTTTAGGTGGGTGGAGAGAAGGATTTTAAGATGCATTAGATTAATCCTCAAATACCAATATCCCAGCCTAGCAGATAGAGCATTAAGAAGCGAAGCAGATTTAGCTCTGTCATTCTTACCTGATGCAACAAATCAGCTTCCAGTATGTTGCTTGTTAGCAAGCTTTTGTCCTAGAGGTTGAATACTTCTAAAACCTTCTTTAGAGTATCTACATGGCTTATAGTAGGTGAAGTATTAAAGTGGGGCTTCATTTGGAATGACAGCTCAGTCTCAATGGTGTGGTGCTAAGAAAAGAAAATACGCTGAAGCACATGGGAACTGTTGATCACAATGTGGGTTGCAAGCTGCCTTGAGAAAGGATGTTTCTTGCCGTTCACTTTTTGTATAACAACTGTTAAAAATGTGCAGCTCTCAAGGTATTTTGCCAAGCTAATCCCAATCTTTAGGAAAGGAATCTAATGCTTTTATCTTGCCTGTTAAAATGTGCTTTGTTTTTTTACTTTTGCAGAGGAAGAAGCGGAAACATTCTAAACATCTCTCTCTCTTTCTTCCCCCTTGCAGCCTTTGAAAATTCTTCATCTGGAATTTCAGATTGGAGAGTCTCGCAGTGGCTTCTAAGCCAGTGATCGAAGCCGCCAAAGCATGCTGGTGCCAAGCTGTCGGATGATGCATATAGCCAGGCCAGTAGTAGTGCTCCTGTGCTTCTTACTCTCTGCTGATGCTGAAAGTAAGTTCTCCTCCCTCTACTTTTTATTTATTTCTACCCCCCTGTTAGAAAAAAATCTTGGCTATAATGAACAGTTTTGTTTTCAGTTGGCACATTAGGAGGGCCTCTGAATAAGCTTCCTTTTGACTCTATCTTGAGACACTGTGGGATCCTCCTTGGCTCTTGGCCAGTGTTTGAAAGGGATTATTTACTGACTTCCTTACTATTTTTTCTTCTTGCTAATACCCTTTTTCTTATGCATTGGAGGTTTCCTACTGCTCTTTATTTGTTTGTGATCCGTCATTTCAAAGAGACAATGATAGCAAAATTGTGTAGCCAAAACAAACCCTAACCTTGCTTGCCAGAAGGCAAACATCACTTAGTCTTATTAGGTGTTTTTCAGTTCCTTGGATATTTTCTTTTCAAGTTTTGGAAAATAAACAATGCAGTGTTCAGTCCAATTAAAATTCCAGGTCCTTTGTGTCTGTCACAGCAGCTGTTCTAATGTATTATTTCCAACAGCTGTCGTGAAATACACTATTTGAACAAACCAAGCAGAACTGACAATTTTAAGGCTGGGCTTTAGAGTGTGGAGACTTGGTGTATTGCAGGCACCTTGGTCCTAAGTCTGGATCTCCTGGTTTGGTACTGTAGGGTTTTGGTCAATTAGCCTGCCAGTTAATGAGAAGATAATATCTCCTTTTTAATTAGGAAATCATTAGGTCTGCCTTGTTTACATGTGTTCTTTCTCCCAGCTGTTCTCTGACTTTCTGCAAAGAGGTGGGGAGCAGATTGCTTGAATTTGTTGTGAAGAGAGACAGATTTGTTTATATGTTTTTGTTGATGTCACTTGATCTTGTAGTGTTTTCCACTGGCAGCTTCTTTGGGTTAACTTTAACATAATTAGTAATGCTTCACATTAATGAATTAACTTTTTTATCAGTATGCCATGAGTATCCAAGCTGTAGGAATTTCATGTGGAAGCTCATCATAGGAAGGTCTATGGAACTCCCTCGTCGGTGAAATTAGATCAGCCCCCGCCCACCTGGCCTTCAGAAAAAAACTAAAAACTTGGCTCTAGGAATCAGACTTTTGATCAATAATGGGAGTGAGGCAATAAGAGATTGTAAATTAATTTTAATGACAACCTGGACTGGCCTTGGAATATGACCTGGACTATGTGATTTAAATTGTTGTTGTAATGTTATGTTTTAATTGGATGGTTTTAATGTTTTGTTTATCCATTGATGTATGTTTACATGCAGCATTGAATTTTGCCTTTGTAAGGCCGCCTTGAGCCCCCTTCAGGGTTATGATGGTGGGATGCAAGTATGGCAGATAAATAAATAAGTAAATAAAATCATCCATACAGTCTGTGAATAGCGTTACAGGACAGCAATATATGGTCCTCCTTCTGATCCTGTTAGAAATTTTATAATGAGGTAATCTAATGGAGATTACCTCATGGTGTGAACTGCTTAAGTGCCCAATATCTTAACGCATTGTACAACAACATCATCAACCATTAACTTTAATTATGTGCCTTTTTGTTCAACATAGATTAGGGGTATCAGACTCATTTTCACTGAGGGCCACATCAGCCTTATGGTTACCTTCAAAGGACCGATTGTAATTGTAACACTGTATAAGTGTAAGAATGTTGCCCTGGCATTGAAAACCTCTCGGACCACATAAAATGATGTGACAGGCCAAATTTAGCCCACAGGCTTTGCATTTGACACATATGCCATAGATGCTTCTTACTTAGACAGTTTTATGAAGATGCCTTGATGTAGATGGCATTATATTTTTAATGTGCTTCATTAAAATAAATATTAATGAAGTGATTTCTTGAGTCCTAGACATTACTGTGTCATGATTGTTCATTTTTACCTGATATAAACAATGGGCTGTGTACAGTTGTAGCACTGTCTGAATTTTGAGATAATCCTAAAATTAATGAGACTTGTCATTAGAATTATACCTTGACATGGTTTTATCTGTGTAGCACAAGCTATTTATAGACAAACTTGTTTTAGGGTGACTCTGTCTTTACAGCACCATGAAAGTGAATTAAATTGTGAATTAAATACTGAAAACATACATATTTGTAGATTAATGACAGTGGAAAATGTTGGGCCTTTTCCAGATAGTTAATGACCAGCTGCGATGCTTGTGCATAATGTGAAACCAAGGTCATTTTAATACTTCAGTCAATAAATAATTAGCAGGGATACAAGCAGACCTTTATATAATTAGGCATTTTAAATGTACTATAATTTTGAAATAATAATTCATTTATTTTTATCAACATAAAATGAAAAAACATTAGCATTGGGTCATGAGTGAAATTTTGTCACAAGTCGGATAAAACTGCAGAATGTAGGTTTGTTTGTGTTGTTGTTAAAAGTGAAAAACCTCTCTGTTTTGTTTTGCACTAATAGCTCAGATTTGAAAATGAACTCATCCAATCTAGCATACACACCACCTACTTGGGCAATTATTTGTATGCAGATAATATTCTCTTCTCAGCAGCACTATCAGATTTACCTCTGAACAGGAAATTTTGTAATAAGATGTTTTTGGGTTTTCCTTTCCTTTGTAAATGGTCATTTTCAACATTTTATCTCTTGTTGCTCAAAAAAATAAGAAAGCATGGCAATTGGCCATTAAGCACTAGGTTGTGACAGGAGGTCTTTTGTTTATGTTAACACATTGACTTCTTTAGAATACTTCATGAGACAAAACTGCTGACATAAAGATAATAGCTAACTCTGGTTGGGTAGTTTCCAATTAAATATTTCCCAGTGGAAAATGTTTCACTTTAAAATATGTAGAAAAATGTGTGGTGAAAATAATAACTAAAAGCTCTTTGAGGAAACTCTTAATCCATGGTAATGCTATGTTACATAGTCACAGAATCTCTAGGGACCTCTGCAAGTGAATCTTTTGGCTATTGCCCCCTGATGTCGTTGGTGATATACATAGTTGTGTGCACCCCATAATTTTATTGTAATTTTTTTTGCAGTTGGTTCTTATGATCAGTGTGCCATGGAAATGAGATCTAAGTGAGGAGACAATCTAGCCAGCGTTAAGCACTTTGTCCATTGATTACAGTGGCAGGAATTTAAGCTTTTATTTGAAAGTCAAATTGCAGATTAGATAATCTACAAAATCCAGTAGTCTACAATTTGCTGAAAGTGGCATCAGGTAATCATAGAGTTGGAAAGGGCATCATGGACAAATCTAACCCCTTGCTCAGTGCAAGATCTTCAGCTAAAGCATATAATGCAGTCCAGTGCAGTTAAACTGCATTATATGAGTTTACACTAACCATAAAAAGCAGTTTTGAACAGCATTATATGGCAGTATAGACAGGGCCACAGATTCTCAAACAGATGGTGGTCTGGGCTTTAGCTGAGCCATGCTAAGTTGTTAAAGTGCCTGTTTTTAAACCAAACTACTGCCACTTTGGTTGTGTATCAAGGATCCTACTTGAAGGTGATTAGATCTTTTGTGATCTATAGCAGACTTTACTCTAGAATTATCTAGCATTTGGCCAGGATGCAGTTTGATAGCTTCTTGGTCAGTAAGGCAACAGTTATTAGATAAGATGACCAACAAATACTGAGACTTTCCAGAAAAAAACATAGCTGAGATCATGTAGAACTGGAATTGTGTGTGTGAACATACATAATTCCATACACAGTCTGTTTCATTCAACCGTTTATGTGACTTTTGGAGCAGGTTGCACCACAAATTATGTAGGTATGTCACAACTAAGGAGTATCAACATATGTAACCAAATTCTTTTTTAAAACACCTTCATTTTTGTGCCACAATATCAGAATTTTGTCTCATCAGAACCTTAATTATTTGTGGACATCAAGTGATAATATTACCAATTCAATCCATTCAAATTCCACATTGGAGAAAGGGGGGGGGGGAATACTTCTAAAATACAGTGTACACTATTTAAGAAATAGAAATAAACAATTTTGATTGTGTTTTGTCCCACACTGAATAGCTTTAGTAGGAGCAAGGTGTGATTTCTAAACATAGTAAGTTGAAAATATGTGGATCCTGTTCATCATAGTATTGAACAGAAAAATTCATTTTTAGGAATAAATAAGTTTTCTAGCAGTGCTTTGAGGAATGCCACTGAAGATTGATTAGATACTACCACAATGAGTGTAGTTTGTGATTTCACTATTGCTTGCAATTAAACACCCTCCTGGGTGCTCTTCTGCCAGTGGAAAGCAATAAGCTTTTGAGAAGGCTATATAATATGACTCCCATGAATGAACCCTTCAGAGGTTTTGACTGTTATGAGTAAATCACCAAGGATGGTTCTGCAGAATTGTATATTCTGACCTTTCGGTCGCCTGAGGTCAGTCAATTGTTCAGGAGATAATCCATTTTTCTATTGTTTGCTTCTGTTTCTGCAGAAATCTAAGTATCCTTTTGCTCAGCTGGATGTGAAGGGAGTGACAAGTACCATCGTTCAAATGAGATCAGGGCAGATGCAGAGGACTTCCTATAATAACTCCTTGCTTTCTTTGTCTATTTTGAATGGAATAGTTGCCCTGTTCATCTCATTCAAAACATAAGCCATGTTATGGTTATTTTGTAAAACAACAACTTTTAACCGAAAAGGACATAGAATCCTGAGAGAATTATATGTAAGCATTTCAGTTCAGGAGCCCTCTTTTGCTGTTCTATTTATTACAAAAAACACAGAAGGGGATAAATATAAATTTCCTTGTGTATTCTCCTAGCTCTAATGAAGACAGGTCTTGGAGAGGTGAGAAAGAGATCAGACATGGATATGAGCCTGCCTTTTTGCTTCTGTAGAAATTTGCCTTAGACTGTCAAAAAAGTTCAGAAAACTAATAACTCTCTTCATTCTAATCATATTATTAGAAGAATTCTAATCCTTTTGTTTCCACAGAGAATAATTGTCAGTCTGCTTTTGTTCTTAACTTTACAGTGGAGCTACAGTGCCATCTGTTCACAATTCA